AGTGTTGAGAGGAAGAATAAAGTAACATTATGCCCAGCAGACAATATGGGGTCCAAAACTATTCAGTATGGCTCTAAGACAGATGAGAAAAATCAGTGGGGTTTGAGTGTGAATAGAGCATCTCATTTTAGCACCCTTATTTTCTCCTTCTAGTATCTGGAATCCTTAAGAAAAACTGGAAGAGTATTCTAAGTGCTGCACTATTCATGAAAGCCTCCATAATAGCGCAGTGCTTTGGCAGAGTGCAGCCAGGTACCTGTGCATCTCAGCAATGAAGCACCTTCCAGAGAAGCTCTTTAATGCTACTCGTGCTCTCAGAGAGTACTCAAACCACATCCAGAGATTTCACCTCAGCATGCCCACAGTAGGTCCTGATTCAAGCACCCAGCAACAAGACAACACAGGAGCATATACTGCTAACAATCTCCTCTCTCCTTGAAACAAAAAGCTTTTGAAGTTCTTAAATGGTAATACTCTGCTCAAATAAAATAACAGACTAAATGCGGGACATAGGCATGAAAGACTGCATTATGTGTGTGTGTATGATTTGGGAAATTCCTGGGCTACTCCAAACTCAGAAGCTGTGTTCAACAGAAAACTAGTATGTACATGAAATTGGATCTCCTCCAGAACACAAGCATAAGTAAAATAAAATAGGAAGGCCTGATATTTTCAGAATTAAGGGAAATGTGATCTTGAATCTTCCCACTCATTAGTTGCCAACAAAGCATATGTGATTTGTGGTTGGTAAATAAGCAACACCTGGCTTACCCTGGATAAATGGGATAGATGCTGCTTCCAGGGATCAAACAAAAACTAGAGCAAGAAATTTTAGTAACAGTTGTTCGTCCTCTAGCAACCAAGTAATTTCTTATCAGATTAGAGCATAAGCAATTTGAAGGCATGCTTGTATGCAGCATAACATAAGTGTATGTGTGGACTGGACAAACAGTGCCAAAAGGTTGGTAGATAATATACTATCAATAGACAGTACTATGTCCCTAAGCTTTCAGACCGCTAAAAGTAGGTATTCATATTGAGCTAGCAGACCTTATGCATTTGTAGTATAAATATGCAGTCTCAAAAACTTGTGTCTTCTGGGAGTGTCCTATTTATAGAATCTTTGTCAACAGGACTTAGAGATAATGTAAAAGATTCAGCAGAGGACAAGATGACAGCAGTCCTAGTGAGCTGCAGTTAATAAAAATCACAATGTATTGGAAATTTGTCTTTTAAGATCCAAAATTCTCCACACTAAATACTACTGATGACAAAAGAATTCCAACCTACAAGATTCTTTTTTCATAAGTCTTCCAGATAAGAACAGATTAAGAGAGTAGAAATTAATTTGCTCTTGTTCTTTAAAGCATGATTAAGTAGTCTACAATACAGGAAATTAGACTAATAAAGCTACAGCTGCTGCAGTGTTTCCCCAATCACATTCTAGCACAGGGAGGCAAGCCTCTTGCTGTTTCAGATAGAGACACCAGTTTCTTGGAAGGACAACTGGTTGGGAGTCATTTCTAAGGCATCTGACATCTTTGGTTCTGCTGTTTAGTAACCAGGCTTCAAGTCACAGTAAGACAATCTGCATTTAGGAATAACATGAAAGAGAAGAACCTCAGGGATTAGTTAGGATCTGGGAGAAGATTTCTCTTGGTGGAGAAAGTTGGAGACTTTTCTTACCTGTAAATCTATAGTAGTAATGATAGTAGACTGGAGATTCCAATATTAGAGCCCACTGGGAATACCAGTCTTCAAATCTGGTTCTTAGTAACAACCAGCAAGGCTAGGATTAGGAACAAAATTTCTGAAAGTACACAGACTACATAATCAAAAATCTAAGTCAGAAGAAGTTGCAAAACAGTGGAAAGTCCAAGTCTGCAAATTAGAATTTCAGGAACAAACCAAAAAAACTCACTGCTTCACAGGCATTTCTCAAGCTTCTGCTTTTTTTTTTTTTCCCTCCACCTACTTTGGCTTATCATACTGACTGAAGCTAGGGTCAGAACTTCAAATATAAAACAGAACTATCTCCAACCATCTTCCATGGCCAGAAAATTCAATGGCATGATTATTCTGAGGACAGTAGAGAGATCATTCTTTTAAAAACAGCAGTCCACCCTGACATTGGTCAGTAGATTTGTGGCCAGGTGGTCATCTTTTCTTTTCTCAAAGTAACTCAAGTTGTGTCAAAACTATTGGGGAGCTCTGGACCAAACTGATGTATTTGCTCATCAGGAACAGCTGGATATGTTCTCATTTATCCTTTCAGGCCTTTGAACTAGAGTTCTGTAAAACACAACATTAACCCAGAAGGTACGCTTCCCTTAGGCATTAAAAACATTTTCTATACCTGTAAAATGGAAAAACATGGTTCCATTCAATTCAAACAAAAGATTCATTTTTGCCTTTGTAGGGTTCAAGAACAAAAAGGAAAATCCTCACACCTAAAAGGCAACACAAGGCAAGAAGTAATAAATAAAAACCAATATAATTTTAAAGAAAAGAGAAAAAAAGAAAACCACAGTCATTGCCCAGAAAGCTGTGAGGAAACCTTCCAATTCAGTGGATATTTGAGAGAAAGCGATGGCATGAGACAGGCTCTAGCCAGATGTACTACCACTATTCCATATGTGGATCACAAACACATCTACCATTTTTCTTAAGGTTTAAAATCTCAGGCCTTTCTCTACATTCACTTCTGAGAATTTTTACTTTCCTAAATTGAAGATTTTAGGTACTGATACGTCAGATAACTGAAAGGTGGAAACCCTTATTTCCCATGCTAAATCAGACTGACTTTGGCTAGTTTTAGTTAGTAAAGCACAAATGTCAAGTTAAGCTTTGCTTACAGTAGTACTCTATTCAGTCTGGCTGAGATGGAGTTAATTTTCCCCGTAGCAGCCCTCACAGTGTTTCACATTGCACAGGTACCTAGAAAGGTGTTAATAACAGACCAGTGTTTTGTCTACTGATGAACAGTTCTGGCACAGCATCGAGGCTCTCTCCGACATTCCCCCCTTACCCTGGGAGGGGACATAGCCAGGACAGCTGACCCAAAGTGACCAAAGGTACCATGTGATATCTGCTCAGCAATAAAAACTAAGAGAAAGGAAGAAGACGAGGGTCATTCTTTATTACAACATTTGCCTTCCAGAGCAACTGCTATGTGTACTGAAGTCCTACTTCCTGGGAAGTGGCTGGATATCACCTACCAATGGAAAGTAGAGAATAAATCTTTTGGTTTTCTTTGCTTCTGTGCTCAGCCTTTGATTTTTCTTTTAATGAACCGCCCTTATTTTGACCCATGAGTTTTTTCCATCTTATTTTCTCCCACACAGCCCCTATCCTGCTGAGAAGGGGAGTGATAGAGTGGCTTGGTGGGCACCTGGTGTCCAGTCAAGGTCAACTCACAACAAATACCACACTAAAACAGGAACACAAGTTTAGATTAGTTTAGAGCATGGGAAGAACAAGTTTGTTTTGCTTAGAATATATAATGAAGACGTACCCTTCAGTCTACTCAGGCAGTCATTATTACTTATTTGTCATTTAATAGTTAATACTGAATGTTGTTAGGTACTAAAGTGTAACAGAATATAAGCAAAACAGTTTAAGTGTTTTCTAAATAGACTATAAACTGTTTAGTTGAAATTACTCTAACTAAAAAAAAGTCTTAATATACAGATATAAAAGTCATATAAGGAAGCTCCTAACACTAGTTTCCATAAAACAAGGTTACTGGATCAACTTGCCTCTCCGGTTTTTTGGCATTTTACTACAGAATTACATTAACTGATTGATATCAGAACAAAACCAACTTTCCATGTATCATTTTATTATGTTCCTAATGTGAACTAGGTTAACTGCTACTCAGGTACTACTAAGACTATAATTTGATAAATTATATCCTAAGGATTATCAGATTTCACAAGAGACCTAATACAGGTGGTGCAATGAGCAGGTACACATCCCACCGCTAAGCAGCATGTTGTTTGGCAGACATCCCACAGCTGAAACAACCACAATAGTCTCTACTTCGAAGTAAGTGTGTTTCGGAGGAAAAGTTCAAAAGGTGTTTAATTTCCTGATAGTGATAATCTTAAAACTGTCTATTTTGTTCTGAGACATGCAGGAAATGCTTTCTTGACAGATCAAGTCAATTGACCTTATCTTTCCAGAAACCTCTTGCACATTGAAATAAATCTCACAATAGAAAATGTCAGAGATATGAAAATAAAAAGCCTGCTTTTGCTGAACATGGCTGATAGGAATACAAACTCAGTTTTCAAGTTTATAAAAGAGTATCTATGTCAATAACATTGACAAAGAAAGTAATTACTATAACAAATTATTTATATTTATTATCTTCAGGTAAGTAGGATATATAAAAACTCTTTCTAAAGGATATTGGCCCTAATCACATAAATTTATTTAAAATCAAAATCATATCTTTGTTTTATGTTCTATCTCACAGAATTTTTTAGAGAGTTATTTCATGAGAATAAAGAATGGCATTCTAATAATGTTTTATTTCACAGGCATACGTAGGGAGAAACATCAATTTAACTGTAGGCCAGTTTATTAATGATAACAACCCATACAGTCGTTACAGTTTAAAGTTTCTTAAATATCACAAATAGATAAATTATAGCTGTAGCCAATCCTTTGCAGCTTTTCACATTACTTAGTAAGGCTACATAAAAAAGGCATTCTCTGTTACATGACATACATTAGCGAAACCTGTATACTTATTGGAAAAAGAGTATCACTGTCATAAGGAGACTTGGTTTACTGAACAGAGAAAATGAATGGAAGAAAGGAAGTTCAATCAAAGCTACTATTCAGCACAAGGATTAAAAATAAAGGAAAAGAATACACTGGTTATTGCTTTGCCTCCACCAGCCCTACTGTGAAATTTTCATATCCTTTTAAAGATGTATCCGGCACTCTGTAGAAGAAAAACACACAAATACACACAAGAAAAAAGTACTCACACTGTTTGGGTGTTGAATGGCAGCTTCGTGCTGCAGTCTAACCCGCTGTGGCATCATCACATCATCCTGGAATAAATAGCACACTGTTACTGAACATAAAAAGGGTCACAGTACAGTACTCAGACACACATTAGAATATGCTGCTAAATTAACATCATTTTACTGGCTTGCAGTCAGAAATACAAATGGAACAAATATTAAGAGACATTAGACTTTTAGTGGATTAAACTTGATCCATTCCACTTGGAAGTAATCAAAACTACTATGCAACAACTGTGTTGTGATCTCAACATATATCTTACGTGCACACACCCATTTTATACTTCTAAATAAATTCACCAACTCTGTAACAACTCTAATAGCAGTACTGGCAGTCTGTGTGGACAAGGAACTACCCTTGATTAAAAGCATGAGATTTGAGACATTCTAGCAATATGAGCAAATGCTCTTTGTAGTCTGGTTGTACCTCATTTCATTGATAAGGAAAGGCCCTCAGTCTCTAGATCTACCAATACGTCATATTTCACAAACATAAAACCTAGTATTTGTAAAATGATAAAATTCTAAGAAAAAAAAAAAAAAGAAAAAAAAGGAAAAACACTCACAAAATGCATCAGCATTGACACTGGCTTTAAAACACACTATCTAGATTTAAATTTTTCGTTAATCCTTCTTCAACCTGTAGTGTAAAGGTCTAATTTGTTTACATACAAAAAGACAGGTTGCCTTGTAGAGAGTTAGTAACCTTGCAATCTTTCTTTGAACAGACATGAGATATTAATTTCAAAATTATATTATTTCCTGTTCAGAATTATATCCTTTCTAGACTATGGTTTTAGTCTATTAAAGTGCCCAAATGTAGCACCAATTTTCTCCCTAAATTTAGTGTCCTTAGGTTTCTACCTGTATTATTTCCCATTTTGGTGCCATATTTCTTCCCTGTTAAAGGATCCGTTCAATCTTTCTTAGATGCTGGTTAAAGCTAACATAGCCTATTTCTTCTCAGAATATTTCCAATTTACACTACCTTATCAAGCAAATATAATTCAAAGGAGCCCTGAATTCCTGTTCTACATCCACTCTTTTAACAGTTCCTCACATTAAAATAATTCTAAGGAGATTCCTACTAAAGCCAAAAAACCAAATACTGAATTTCCAAAAACTTTTACATTAAAACTTGCAGTCAAATCAATGGTAACAAAACATATATTAGTACTTAAATATCTAAGTGGGCTGAATGACCTTGATATAAAGGTGACACTGGTTTTGTCAAAAACAATGCAAGGATGAAAAAGGTTTCAGAAATAGAACCAACTATTTAATACAATTCAAAGTTAAAGATAAAACAAATGAATAATAAAACCAACCCTTACCACATGCAGATTTATAAAAGATGGAAGGAATACATTGTCAAAAGCATTTTTCTGTATTTTGTTTTTAGAATATATTTAGTAATAAGCATGAGATGTTATTGACTTTCAAAGCCAATAAAGTGAAAAAAAAAAAGCACTTCTGATTTCTCAACTTCAGTACATCAGTTACTCTAAAACTACAATGATGTTATTTACCATCTAATCCACTTTAATAGTAAGGCACCAGAATTCAAATACTGTATCAAGCAAATGTTCCAGTAAAACATTTACCCTTCTTCCCATAATAAGAACCACAATCCTATTTCTTTATGTCAAATTCACCACTGATTTTTGTAAATTAAAAACCTGGTTTTCGTATAAGCAGTAGGAGATATATTTTAACTGAGTTTTGTTCACTCCTTTACTAATTACTTGGGATTCTCATATGTCGTCTTGGTAAATCCCCCAAAAACAAGAATGCAAAAGAAATCCATCAAAAAGCAAAGAAATGCAATGCTTAGAACAATGTTACTATTATATCTGACAATATACAACATGTGCTCTTCTGCTAAAAGATTCCACTGTTTATGATCCTGCACAACAGAGATAAATTTAACAGAACTCATGCATTCACGAAGATGAAAAATAATCTACTTGATTTAAAAAGGTTAAATCAGCGTGGAAAGCATTCAAACCAATTTCAAATATCCTATTCACCAAACAGGTCAGCATTATGTTTTTATAAGCAGACAACTTGACAGGAAAGGTCTAGTTCCCCCTAACAAAACACTCTGTCATTTTGATGCTATTGGCAAAACTAACAAGTCTACAGATTTGGGTCTTAGGCTATCATCAAGGTCATCAGTATTCTGCAAAATCCAGCTAAAGAGAGAGCATTATAAGCACAAAAACTTCAAAATGTCTTTTTTTTTTATTAATACATCTTTGTTCTCTAATGCTGGAAAACTCTATGAACTCTTATCCTGAGTAACCCTTAATTATTTTTTTTTAAATAATTTTGTTCTTTTTTTTCTTATTAGCTGTTTTACATATTTGATGCATTGCTGTGCAGTTCTGTGATACCTTCCAGGTTCATGGAAGGAGAAAGAAATGAAAAAAAAAAAAAAAAAAAAAAAAAAAAAATTGTAGTTTAAGTCATAATCCCAAATAAAATAATAAAGCAATTAGTTGAGGAGGAAGAACAGCACAAAATACAAATCACATCCCAGACAAAACTGAGTCATGTCAGCCATTTAGCTTTTTAGACTCAGGTTGGGCAACTATAAAAGAAAGCTAACTGCAAAATACAACTTCAACACATCACAGATTCTTTACTATTGATGACTGGGCAGGTAACCACGAAGTGGAAAACAGAATATATTTATACAGAAATAATCTTAAGTAATGGGGTTGTAATCTAGACCAGTGTTTAAAAAACAAATTGAATTCTAATGAGTAAACCAAAAATGATTGTACCACAAAATAAGAGCACTTTAAATTTTTTCAACTTCATAGGCCATTGATATGAGTGAGATGCCCAACTCTGCACTGTACTAATAATTTACAGAGTTTAAGCAACTCTAGTATTAGACAAGTAAGATGTTAAAATATTTATCCAGCTATACCTAATGTCATCACAAGTTTTATATGAAAACTATAGTATTTATGATACTGACTTCAACAACTGTGTTACCTGACTTTGGTTTCTACAGTCAACAGAGTTCAGTCATCTCTTTTGGTGTAAAGATGAGAACAAAACCTCAGTAATTAGACACACACTTTCCACATTATTTTTCACTTGTCATGTCAGATTAAAAAAATAAAAAGTACATATCTGGATGTAGCTGCTACATTAAAAAGGGAAGTATAGTTAGTTTGTTTCTGTCTCCTAGGTGCAGTTAGGGAAGATAACAAGGCTAGCAGTAAATTACATTGAATACATAATTTTAAAAAACGGAAGTTTAACAGGAGTTTCCACTGAAATTCAATTTTCCCTGTTAACATGCAAGTCTCTGATGATTGTCTCCTAGCAGATAGGCTGATAGGAAGAAGAGAGATTGCCCCCACTGAAAGAATGGTCGAAAGAACAGATTTTAAATAAATCCTAGATAAATGCATGCCTTCACTAAGCATATACTTGCAATAGGGTAGATAAATAAAAAAGAATCTGGAAGTAAATCTATTTTCATGTGATCCCACTCACCAAATTTAGAAAAATTAAGAAAAATCTCAGATAATAGCTGGTTTTACTGTTATCTAAATATGTACATACATACAATGCAAACAAGGCCAAATGAACAGGTAAACAGCAAGCAATAAAGCAACATAAATAGTAACCTACTTTAGGCACTCAAAATAACCTAGAATTTATAGGAATTCTGTTGATTACAAACATGCTTCCTGTTCTTCAGTGTCCATTCTGAATAGGAAAACAATTTGCTCAAAGATGGGAGAATGAAAAGGACTTTATTTCGCATGAAAAGCCAGCAAGGATTTCTAAACAAGCCCAGATGTGTTTCTGTCAGTGGGGGGCTGTGATCTCCATCACCTTTCAGTCCGACAAGCATTCTGCCTGATTGGGTTCCTATCAAATATAGCCCTTCTGCAGAAAGCTGGCTTGCTCCTGTCAAGTTCCACACCACTTACAGATGCTGCCAAATCAGAAAACCTACTTATACAACTATCAGCTGGGTTGTTTTCCTTCCAACCAGAGGCGCCATTCTTTATAAAAACCCACACAATTTACACTGAGCTAATTGTTTTGTTTTACTTTACTCATATGTTTAGTTGAAGAAAAGGAAAACTAAATCAATAGACTGAGCTTAAGAATATTACTCAAAGCTGTTGTTGTTTCAGTATGTGTCACTTAAACCAGTTTGGGTAAATCCAAATGACAAGCATTCACTGTCTCTTCAATCAGGCCATCTGGACCACACTGAACTCCACAGTGATAACTTCATGATTTTCCCCTAAAAGTGGGGGGTTTTGCACTTCAGAAAGCAAAACAAAACATACAACTCAACATACAATACATATCTACTTCTTAAAACCACAGACAAATTCACCTAAAACAACACACTAATTATAGCTCAGTATAGAAGTGCTTTCTTAAGCTCACATTACAGACTCAACATCACATGCTTTTCCAAATTCCTTCATATTTGGCTGCTCAAAAAAAAAAAAAAAAAAAAAAAGAGTGAGCTGACACACTCTGTCTTCACAGTAATAGCACCTTTTCATTGCAGCTATTACACATAAAATACAACCTGTAGCAACACCAGGAGGAATGTTTGACTCACTGAGAAACAATATGGCATCTCCAAAGTCTTTCAATCCATCAAATGGTCATTCATTTATCCTGCACCTGCTCAGACTATAGTGAAAATCTTTCTTTGTTATTGTTCAGTTCAACTCCATGAACCAGAGAAGTAAAAGGCCTGGGACCTCCAAAAACTGGCTGGGCAGCAGCACTACCACAGCAAATACACTGATCTTAGGCAATTTTCCAGGAGGTGGGTTTTTAAAGAAGCCCCACACTATCAAACGTGTTAGAATCATGCACTCTAATGGCCACACAACAGTCACCTGAGCAGAACACACCCTAGTGATCTGTCAGTACTTGCAAGATTATAGGAAAAAATTACTACTTTTCTATTTCTACTTCTGAATTAAAATGAAAAAAAAAGGGACAACAAAGAAAACACTTCAAAGTTT